CGCTATTATATAAATTTAACCAGCAAGCACGTAATATTCTTTTATTATATGAAACGTGGCTTAAAAATGATTATACTAATTTTGTGTATATACATTATTACTATCATTATTTAACCCTAAAAAAGTAACAATTGGTTTATGGAAGCTATGATATATGTAAATACACAAAATAATTAATCACAGATTTTATTAATGAATAACCTTTCCTTACATTATCATATTAATATACGTAAAATTTAAGTGTTAACCTAAGCTTTTCTGAAGTTGAACAATTAAAAATTGAATAGTTCAACTTAGATTAGTTTAAGTTATCACTTCTGTCAGGCGTCCCGAGACGCACACATTATTTTTATTTGAAATTTTCAAATCAGAACAACGCAAATAGAAAATCCTAGCGAAAATGTCATCTTTATCAGCTACGTATAAAAAATTAAACTCTCCATGGTTATAAAATGATTGAACTCTTGAAGTGGGAGCTCTAATGAACAATATCTCCATAAGGCTGTTCGCAAGGCAGTGTTGAAAACGCTTACAATATGTTTAATATACATGATATTTCTCAAAGCATAGTTCCAATACACACCTATTAAAGAGCGTCTCAATTGCTTAATGATCTCGTGATTGGTCTTGAATTGTCATTCCCTGGACCATCTCAGAAAGAGGCCAATTCCATGCTGAACAGTTGTTGAAATTCACTACAATGTCAAATACAAGGTGTTGAGGATTATTTTAATAATGAACAGTTTTTTGTATTTTTTAATGATTCAGACTAGTATCTGAGAAACACATTCGCTTCGTATGAACTAATCTAGAATCGTCCAATTATGGAGCTATCGTAGCACTTAGCAGAACAACAATGCATTCGTCTGGTCAAGATTTCTGTTGTTTTGAGACAAGTCAATATAACTTTTAGGTTTTGAGAGTGGAAAAGACACATATGTGTTCTCACTTCGATACTCCATGATCATTAAATCGTTTATTAGCTTGTATCTTCCTGAATGTGGGAAAGCTTAGTTTTTGGAACGTCAATACCATAGGAATGATAATGCAGCACCAAAAACTCTGTCGATGGATACAGGCTGAGACAACATACTCGTTCTCATTTGCCAACAGCAAATGTATAAGAATATTAGGCGCTTCGCTGCAGGTGCTGCATCTGGTGTCAGGAACCTCTTAAATCTATTCCGCTGACCAAAATATTAAAGACACCATCCTAACAGGCTATACAGGCTATGAGGATCTCTGTAGAGTTCAACTTCTTTCTACTGATCCCAATTCAGATGCTTGGCCTTAAATGTTAAGGATCCCGTGAATACGCTATTTCTTAAATCAGTGAATTGATCTCTATGCAGGCTTTTTGTTGGTTGGTTTTAAATTGAGTGACAACATTCTAGTCACCTCGTTCAGAGACGAAAACCATCGGTCCCTCCAGCAGCTGCCTTAAATAGACACGCTCTAATACCTGCTTTTTCATATTCACGGACTATTAAGAAAATGGGACCCTTTTCAGTACTAGCATCCACCTTAGTCCATCATAACCAAACAATTTCTCTCATTTGATGTTATGCCAAATGACAGTTTTTCTGAAAGAATATCATGGAACTCTGCATCCTCTCTAATCAGTTGTGGCTTCAAGGGCCTAAACTTGTGAAAATCCCTGCCTGTTCCGATTGTCCCTACTGATGGAATAGCAGTATCAAGAGATAGTACTTCGAAAGATTCAACTTTGATATAACATCTGTGATAATTTTAGGCATCTACGAATCTGGTACCTTGAGTAGATATATTGATCCAACCAGAATATTTATATATTTTTGAACTACATTTCTCACCTACTTTTTCAGATCTTTAATTACCAAATCATCTTTTTTTTCATATGGCATTTCGTTTGTGGTAGAACATATGGTAGGTACTGTATAATGCCTCATTGGGGAATATTTGAATCATTGATCTTGAAAATATTCGAATTCCAAAAATCATTGAAGGATTCTCTCATATAAATATTGATTTAAATGAACAAGAACCACAACGAAAAATTCACTTTGAAATATTGGATACACAAGGTAACTTCAGGCATAATTTCCTTGAGAAATTCTGACAAAGAAAATGTGAATAAGCATTTCAACAAAAATTGTTCTCAGACGGGCTACCAGGCAAAGAATAGTTTCCTTCTTAGAGTTCACCTTAAATATCAGGGATGGTCGTAAGATATCATACAATTGAAAGGTATTGTAACGAACCTGAGATGACCTAATCTCGGGAACTCGTCATCGAGTCTCGCATTTCTTCTCAAATAGGTTAGGTTAGGTCCAAAGTGTGTGGGTCTATTCGATTCTCCACAGCAACCCGCAAGGGTTTATTGTGACTTACACCTATTCACACTCGACCAAGTAAACTCAACTTCTTAACGAAGCCGATTACTTTATATGGTGAGTGGTCTTTCAGGTCAGATGGTGAGAGTACAGCTCTGTCGAACTCTAAAAACCTGATTCGGTCCCCAGTGGGGCAGGCACAAAGTATGTGCTCTGCTGTTTCATCATTTTCCAAACAGAGGCGACACACACTGTCTTCCGACAGTCCGAGTCTCAGCGTATGATGATTCAAATGACAGTGACCTGTTCCCAGTCAAAATAAATTAAGAAGATTCAAAATGAAGCAAAGAGACGTATAACTTTCTAAATGAAGTTATTTGACAACTAACCGTCATCTATAATCAACACAAAAATGACGACGAGAAGGAAGGCGATTGAAAAGTTTTTTGGTGGCGAAGCAAATTGAACAAGTGAAATATTGTGGATGATTTGGTATAAGATGCCTTCAAGACTTGCCACGAAATTATAGCTAGTTTTTGAAAGAGTGCAGGAGGTATTTTATTAAATACAAGGCTCCAGATGTTCTCTAAGACAGTTTTGTGGTCATAGACACCGCCTTGATTTTTTCAGATAACGAGCTTTTGTTTTCTCATAAAGATCATTTGCCGCTTTTTATTAATGTTCGTCATGAGAGGTTAATGTGGATATAATCATAACACAGCAAATTTGTCTTGGATCACGTTGTAAAGTTCCAATTAAAAATTATGAAAATAAGCATCTAAATATAAAACAGCTACTACAAATATACAATTAATTCAGAAATTTGTTAGTGATACCAATAAATTCAGGATGCAGAGCTTTGCGACAGGTCAATAAATTTTTCAAAATTGACATAAAGCTAATGCCTCCTTTGAAGCTGAATCATTAAACTACTTTAAATATTTCATCCACTCTAACAGATATGCCCGAAAATAAACAAGAAAATAATAAAAAAATAGATATGATGGTTTTTATACAGTCGTTATTAAAGTTAGTATATAAAGATTTATAACGTGGTGTCAACATGTGGAGTCAGCATGTGGAAAGAAATTCTACACCGTTAATAAGTTTTTAGGATGTTCTTAATGCTCGACTTTTTGTTGCTACCAATGCCGAATTATATAATACCCCACTGATGGATAAACTTAAGAGGTGCTTTTTTTCAGATAATAAATTTTTCTGATTTTCTAGAAATGTATCATGTAGAAAGCAATATTGTTTTTTACTCGTACATTTGTTTTAGTTTATTGGAAAAATTTATCTGGTCGTTCGATGATATCACAACTGCTAAATAGGTATTGATCTAAAGGTCATTTCAGCCACCAAAAAGGGGAAATTAATAATATTTTGAAATTATTAGGTAATTGTCAAAATTAAATGAAGTCGTGCTAATTGTGTAACAAACCATTTTCCTGTACAGGATAGTTATGATAATTTTAGTACATTTTCTTTTGAAGAAATTACTGAAGTTTATATAAAGAAAAAGGGGTTTCGTTTGAGTGATAAGCAGCATGGAAAAATCGAAATCCTTGAGGAATGCAAAGTCGGTTATAATGGAAAAATGTTGCCCACTTTAGGGTTTATTTAAACCATGTTTTGGAATTTAGGGAATTCCAATTAGTTGTGGTGAAATTGAAAAGAACCGAAATTCGCCAATTTCGTTTTATTTTTTTGGGTCATCTGAAGAAAGTCCTAAAAATTTTATAACGTCATTTGAATAAGCTACTTTTTCCTAATTCAACCGTCTTTTTATCTCTTACGGTTTCCAATTCTCCCATGCTCTAGTCCTCCTTACCTTGAAGACATTGTAGGTACAGTTATACAGTGCATCGTAAAAAGCGTATCCTTCTCTAAACTTTCAAACGGGATAGGGTATCAAAGTAGAGCAAATTTATGTACTTTTCGAACTAAGAAAAACAAGTGAATTCAATTCTCTATCCACTTCATGGGTTTTGGAAATTGCCGTTCTTGAGTAATCAACAGTTTTATATTCGCTTTGAGAATCTGCAAACGCTAAATATCATGATTTAAAGAAAAAAATATTGAAAACTCACTTCAGTTCATCCCAAGAAGTATTTACTTCCTGAAAATAATGAAGTTTGTTAACAAATCAATTGCCTACGTTTTGAAGTGGTTTTGGGGTTTCGTTAGGAGCCCATCTTATTCCGTAGGAATTCATACCACGGTCGTATGATCTATATTTCAGATTTCAGGAATACCGACAAAAAATCTAAGAGCGTTATGTCAGGTGATCTAGCGGAACATTCTAAGGAACCACGTTTGCCCATCCGCCGGTTTGGAAAATTGCCATCTTACCAGTTTTCAACCAGTCCGTCGTAATGAACGTACGCTGAAAACTCTTTCGAATTTACCAATTATCCAAATCGATACGCCTGAAGAAACTATTGTATAAGAAACCACGTGACTCGGTTTTGTTTATAATCTGTTCGAGATTTTCATCCAAAATGAAATGAAATGAAAGTGTAATGATAAAGTGTTATTACGTTCAGATAGACTTCCAAATTATTATTCCAATAATGACATGTGATTTTCACTCCACTTGAAAATGTGTAAATAAGCTCAAAAGTTCATGCTCAACTTCTCTTCTTTACTAATTATCAATAAATAATTGAATAAAACTATACTCACCATATATTCATTTTTAGGCACTATGTTATTACTTGCTTCCGATGAAGATTTCGATCCTTGCAAAATTTCTTCTAAATATTCTATATATTCTATGGCACTCCTTAAAATTTCTACTTTTGGTAATCTCTGTCCAGGATTATTACAGGTTCTTTTCTTCAACATTTCGAAAGCCTCGTTCACCTGAAAAGAAGCCACGATAAAAATTTCGAAAAATCAGTTTCAACAGATTGTTTTTTTCTTCAAGATAAAAATGCATTTCAACAGTTCATTCTTCGATTACCTCGTATTCTTGTTCAAATATAGATATATATGAATTGAAAAAAAATATCACAACATGAATATTTCCAACTCCTTGAGAAAACTGAAAGTGAATGAAACATTTCTGGAAAATAATTCTCTTTATAAAAGCGGTGTTAAAGATCTTTCTATAAGATTTCCACATGAGCATTCATAAGTGTAAGTTATAATATTCTAGTTCACAGTTAAACAGGGTTGAAGATCTTTTTATAAGATTGCCTCATGAAAACTCATAAGAGTAAGTCAGAATGTCAATTTCGCGTTTAAGCGGGGTCGAATTTCTCTCTATAAGATTGCCACATGAAAATTCATAAGGGTAAGTTAGAATATCAATTTCACAGTTAAGCGGGGTTGAATATCTCCCTATATAATGCCACATGGAAATTCATAAGAATGAGTTAGAATATTCATTTTGAAGTTAAGTGGGTTTAGAGGTTCTTTTATTTTATTCTTTGTGATTTAAAAATGAATCAGTACTTAAGGAGATCCACCTATTCCTATCTTAATGGAAAACTAGCCACATTCATTTATTTGTAGAAAAAACAAGAAATATATACTTTGAAGAATAGTTATACACCAATAGGTGATATAAATGCATACGAAATTTACTTAACTCTGGAGTTCCAAAAGAATGGAATATATCCGTGGAAGAGAACAAACTTTTTCTTCCGTCTTAGAAAAGAAAAAAAATGTATGATAACAAATAGAGGGTAAGGTTTAGTATTCGAGTATAATCTTTTTCTCAATGAAATATTTGTGTTAAAACATTTTTTCAATCTATGCAGAATATAAGATGTTATTGTGCCTCCTTTTTTTCTTGATCATAATCCACATACGAGGAAAAGGTATAGGAAAGAATACATCAAGGTTACTGTTTGGTATGTGAGAAATAAAAAGTGTTTTGAATCGATCTCATATATCTCAGATTTAAACAGATCATTATCCAAAACGAACAAGTTATCAATTCTTCAAGAGATACAATGAAACAGTTTGTTTCACGATTCAATCAAAATAATTTCAAATATGCACTGGTCAGATTCTTTTAGTAATACAAAGTACTGAGAGCTGAGATTTATAGGGATTATGAGGAGTAGCAGAATTAGAGTTTTTGCAAATCTCTTCATGTCAAATTCAGTTATTATATGAATAGTCCAGATCCAAGAAAGATATTTCAAAATAATGTGTGATCTATATGAAATAAAAAATTTGTAAATGTCAAAAATATAAATATACTTGGGACGATTAAATGAAACATATACGTAATCAATTTGTGGATAGGGTAATTCTGGGGAAGACGGCCATACGGAAGAGATTGCCAATAAAAAAAAGTTCAAGTAATAATCAGTAGGTAGCACTAGTTATCTATTAGTTCGGTTCGCATCGGCACGGGTAACAACTGTCAGTGGATTTTTTATCGAAAAAATAATGAAATGGTGAGTAATTTGACTTTGTTTTTTTATTATACATGCGAGTTAAGTGGGGTTTACATATTAAGTGACCCCAAAAAAATTTTGAAAGTTATGTCCGTTTTCGTGCTTTTCCACTGAAGTAATAAACTTCTCCGGTGTTCTAATCTCAAAATTACCCACTATCTTGAGAAATGGCTTTAATTACCTAATGTGGCCATCTCACCCGGACTATTAAAAGAGATGGCCATAGTATTTACAGGAGAGATAGCTATAAAATTTTATGTCCTAATTTTGATTTATTTTTATTCTTCAAGATTTTCTACAGATGTCGAACCAATACGTACGGAAGGTGGCTGCTGGTCGAGGTGAATGGAGCGAAGAAGATTTAAAAAATGCTATGGAAGAAGTACAAAATCGAGGGATGATGATTTATAGGGCCTTTTTTATCTACAAAATACCAAGAAAAACACTTGAAAGAAGGTTAAGACTAAGTAACAACACTAAAGGACCTATTGGACCGTCATCTACCTTCGATGACGAAGGTAATAGGGAAAAAAAGAGCTAAAAGATCTCAAGGGCAAAGGGAAAGGAAAAAAAGTATTGGCCATCTCTCCCCGACTGCTATGGCTATCACTCTTGGACATCCTGGGAGAGATGGCCAGTCCTAATTTTTTTTACAAATTTAAAATTACGTTAATGCATTTGTCAAAGTGATTTATCGTTAATATTCAATAAGAATTTTAAATAAAGTTTAATTTTTTGTATTAATTAATGTTTTAAACTTATAGTTCCTTCACAGCAAAGTTTTAAAGTTACTAGGGCCATCTCCACCGGAATTACCCTAATATAATTCCACAAACTGTCACAGACTAATGGAAACGAAATGGCATGACTACCGCTCCGAATGAACTATCCTTTTGATGAAGAATTGCTTTTTATTTGGGAAAACCACTACCTATGTTACGATTTTGGGTTAATATCCTGTATAAACATATTTAATATTCCATTTTCATGTCCGAAATCTAGCAATTTAAATTTTCCAGTATGCTGAATATTTGATAGGACCATTCCTAATTTGAGGTTAAATTTTATAATCTAATATATCAAAATGGATGTTTGTTGGTTGGTTGGTTGATAAGTGATAAACTTCTACATCGCTCAACCGATCGTGATGGAACTTGACATGTATAAGTAATTTTTCATAGAGAAGGTTTTTAGGCTTTCAATTTTTCTATAACTCGCCACTAGATGACGCTGTAGAACAATTTTTTGAAAGTACTGTTCTATAACGCTGCGCACGCCTAAGTTCCTTGATTCTGATTCTGTCAAAACTTTGGAACAGCAGCGATACAGCAACATAGTACTAGTTGCAATATAAAATTCACTTATTGTGAAATACGAAGGACCTAGAGTTTATTAATTGTGGAAACAACTCTTAATCTTTTGTCTTCTTTTTTCACTTGTAGAAGAAAATGATGCTATATAAAAGTATGTGTTTTGTCACGTAATTTGTTGATGACGCATGTGCGTTCTTAATCGTTCGGACTGTAGATAGAAATAGAATCTTAGACAAAATAGAAGCTTTGGAAGTGAAACTCAGTGTTAAAAGAATATAGTGACACACATTTCACCAACTGAGTTCACATCATCATTACTCTGGCGCAGGGCAGTTTTATTACATACGAAAAATACACCCAGGATCCCACAAGCCCCAGAAAAATCTGGAAACGAAAAGAATTTTAAGATATTGCGAGAACTTGAGTCTGAAAATATTAAGACTAGCTAAGACTTATTATACTGAATTACTTCAAAATTGCCATACCAAAATTGTTATTAGTTTAATGAAAATAAACAGAAAGACTATAATTATGTTAAATGTAAAAGTAAATCGAAAACAGAATGAGTTCTACAATCGTAGTCGATAATATAAAATTATTCCACTACATCTCAAATTCTTTACGATACCCAAATTTTCACAAATTGAAAGAAATTAAAAAAGACATTCTATATTTTTGATACTATAATTTAAGATTATCTTTCGATATATCGTCAATATTTACCTTCCTCAGTCTCCTCCTTTCTCTTAAAGTAGCGGCTTTTCTCCTGTCGATAGTCACCGTTTTCTTTTTGCAAGCCTTGCACGCCCAAGCCAAACATTTCCTTGGTCCATTTACAGAACATCCCGTGTGTGGGGGTTCTAAAATGTGTGTTATTTCTTTCTCGTCCTCGCTGTCTATAGAACTTTCGGCACTAACATAACCGGTATCGATCCGCAATCTGAAAATGAATATTTATTGTTCCAAACCATTCTTTCATCTATTCAGTTGTTTAATTCCATTGCTATTGATTTATTCAAGACTGAAAAGATCAAACTGATCTTCCTCGGGAAGATGATCATCGAAACACGTGTCGAGGTGTTAAAATAACAGTTTGATGTTGGAAAAAAACTACAGTAATATTCATTACTTCACCAAAGGTTCCAAACAGTGCATCACAAGTCAAACATTATCAAAGTGTCTATTGAATTATTTTTCAGAGTTTGATTTTAATTTTTTGTTTCAGAAATCAAATAAGTCTGAATAATTTATGATGTACTGTTTGGAACCTTTGGTATAGTACAATCGTGATCATCTTCAAGAGGAAGTTTTATCTTCCTCTTGAAGATGATCACTTGGTGATCGAAACACGTGTCGAGGTGTAAAAATAACGATTTGGTGTTGGGAAAAACTCCAGTAATATTCAAGTCTGGATAAGTGTGTGGAGGAAGGGTACATGAGCCAAGAAAACAAATGTTTTGAATACAAATTCGAAACATTAGGAAAACAAAAATGAATTTCAGAAAACAATTACTTTCTTGTAATGTAAACTTTGACGGCCGGATATAACTGTGTGAAAGCTATTTTCCGTTTTTTTGCCATGCGACCATTACCACATCGCCATTAATAATGTCTACCGCAGTAGTAGACGGAACATCAGGTATGAAAACCTACAGAACATGGTCAGAAAACCGGAAAATAGCTTTCACACAATTACTTTCTTGACTTATATTAGGGCGGGCATTGGACTTTTGTCTACTACTTAGAGTCGCAGTCGCCTAATTTGTCTATTTTTCCAAGTCTTCAGCCGCAGTCTCATGGACTCATTGAGTTTTTTCCTCCATCTTTTTCATGACACCCATTCAACAATCTTGTTCTCGTCTGTACAGGTCCCTCGTTGGGTGTTTGTTATATTTTCCTGGACAGAATTGACGGGACCAGGGGAAACAACGTTTATATCCATTATTTGTCAGATTTGAGTTGATGGTAGCATTAACCAACTCCAGACTAAACTTCAGATCGCATATTCGTTTCAAGAGAAGAAACGTTTAGATCACCTAAATAATGTCCAGTGAAGAAACGTTTAAGTCCGGGAGCACCTGGGAAAGAAACCGCAATGTCCACGATGCAAGGTTTTCCCCTATATGGTACATAGTATTAACACGATGATTACCGTGAAATGTTATTAAATAGCATCGTAAACTGTGGAGAGATGTATAGTTCCAAACATGAACACAGTACCTATCCGGAATGTACAGATAAACATACCCCATGCGAACGAGAACTATCAGTGGTCAAAATTGTCTAAGATTAACCAGAGTTCATATTGCATAAAAGCTTATATTTCGGTGTGTTTATTAAGTCTTCGATTCAAGAAAACGTAAAAAAAAATCAAAAGAAAGAAAGGCATTACTACAGCGACGACGTTGAGCCCTTTGTATTCTGGCTCAATGGGTAAATGGGTAAGTTGGGTAAATAAAGAGATCTGCAACATTAGGTTGGGTAAATATAGAGATCATCAACACCTTAAGCAGTTTTTACAAAGGGCGGATTCAAGAAATATCTACTCCAACTTACAAGCAGACATAGATGACCAGAATGGATGAAAGGATGAATAGGTACATGGATGACCCGCCAATAAATGCTGATGAACCAAACTACTAGGGAAGATATGTTGTTGCCCAGAGACTTTCTGGAAATTCACTTTTAATAAACATTATTTTCTAAGAATTTCAATTTTTCTCATAACAGCCTATGTAATAATAAACAGTTTTTGAACATGGTTGTTATTTTTAACAAATTTCACAACCGAAATTTCACTAGCTTTTCGATGGTAAACTTTGTTTTTCTGTTTTCACAAAATACATACAAATGGAAATAAACATTTTTCCCCTGGACCTGCCAATTAGAGTTGTTCATAAATTGCTTGCCTCATGTGATCTAGTGCCTCATATTCGCATGATTCTTCTGTTCTGCCTGCAGCTCAGATGTTCGTTGTTCAACCTTTTTTTGTTCAGCTGTCCTCTCAATGGAAATGAACGAACGTTTGATTTCATAAGAAGTATTTGTTTTAGTGACGAATGCACTTCTTCTTAAATGAAAACGACAACCCCCAAAATGTGCATTAAAATAAAACCTCATATTTTTCGAGAAGATCACACTGAAACTCCTGAGACTATCATATTGTTGGTTCCATATGTCTAAACGAAAATCTGACTGGTGATTTATATTTGGAAATTCTTCAAAACCCTTCACCGACGGATTCAAGAAAATGTTACCAACAATTAAGATGAACTGGAGAATTCAGTTGTTTTCCAAGAAGATGGTGCGCCCTGACATTTTTTTAAGCATGTGAGGGATTGATCGGATCAGACCTACCCAGGCATTTGGACTGGTAGGCGCGGTACGTTGAAGTGATCTGCTCGTTTGCACGTTTGCAGGATTTGACCCCTCTCAGTTTTTTCATTTGGGGCTATATCGAATCGAAAGTTTATGTTACGCAACCCCGCTCAATATATGGAGACAATTAACAAAACGTTCCGAAATGTTGGGAATGTGTTCAAAAATAGACTTGTTCTACTGTCAGGAGATCCAAGAAGAACATGTTGAACATTTACTCGAATGATTTTTTTATAATTACCAAGTTGAAATAAAATGCCTTCGAAATTAACACGTATCTATTACAAATATGTGATTAATTTATTTTTCTCTTCAATGAACATTTAGTTCTATAGGGTGGCGGAGCTACGAAATTGTCCCAAATTCAAATATCAATTACTTCGCAACCGGTTATCTAAATTCAAAAAAATAAAGGTCATTGTATAGAGAATTGAAATACCTCTCATACGAAATGTCACAAAACCCGCTTTCTATTAGAAAAAAAATGACAGCGTCCTCTTTTCAGCAAATGCATCCATAGAACTAATGCGGGAGAAAATATAGGTTCGTTAAATAAATAATAATGGTATTAGCAACAGGGTGGAGTCACGAAATTGGGTTGACTAGGGTCAAAAAGAGGGTACCTGGGGGAAGAGGACTTCCGTGACGTCATTGAAGGAAAATTATCAATTTAGGCTACTTCTTAAATTCAACAGAAAAATTCCGATGGATTGCTCCAACCAATAGAAACGCGCTAACTTTCCTAATAGTGCAATAAATGAATCAATAAATGAATCTAAAGTAATAATACAGGTACGAGTGTTAACACTATAGGTATAAGGTTGTTTCGAAAGTTTTGTCCGTTTCACGAGTCTACTTTCACGAGTATAGGTGGCTTGTCGGTGTCCAAATGCTGTCTGAACATCTCTTCTTATTATAGAGCACCAACTTATCATTGCAAATGACGATCAGTTCCAAAAAAGGGTCGTTTTGATTGCGCAAATGTAGAGAAGAACACACCTCGAAACCTGACAACGTGACAAGTGCCTGGGTGGCTCATCGGTGTCTAACCATTGTCCTGAACTTGTCCTGTTGTCGTAGAGGATCCACACGTGATCCAAAAATTAAAATATATTTTTTAAACCACCTTAAACCGCATGGGAGTTAACGCCCAGTTCTTTCGCCATCCCAGGCACCGTTTGTGATGGGTCAGTCTCCATCAGGATCCTTAAATCTTCGTCTTGGATTACTGTTGCTCGCCCACTTTGGGGATCATCTTCAAGACAAAAATCACCTCAACGAAATTAATCAAACGCGATTGGATTATCTACTCGATAGCAGTTTTTTCTGTGCATTCCAAAAAATGTGATGTTGAAGAAGAAAACTGAGAATCGCCGTGGCAGGCAACTTTTCATACGTATCAGTCGGTAGCCAAGCGGTTCGGCGTGGGTGCTTTGTTCAATCACTCGAATTGACTGACGTGTTGGTCGGTGGTTCAAGCCCTAGTCTGAACGATCTTCACTTGCTACCGTCCAACCCGTGTTAGGAATCACACGTTAAAAGGTAAGACCTCGTTAATCCTTAGCTCGCACAAGTTTCGACTTCTGAGGGTTGTCGTTCGTAGGGGTGCGACGGCTGGTTAACGGAAAAACGGATTTTTTAAACAGATTTATAACGTATCCAAGAATAAGTACGACAAAGTCGTACAAGTCCATTTCAATACATTGAGAGTATGTTCAGTTTTAGGTAAAGGTGAAGGTAAAGTACAAAACTAAAGTATCTAATTCTGAAATTGATAGATCTAACAAGAATTTTTTTTGTATTTATCATCAAACAGTTCAGGTATTTAGGTGTTAAAAAGCTCCGTGCTCAAATGCTGGAAAGTGGGCGAAACTGATTCTTGGTGAAAGTTTCAAATTTGGACTTCCATTGTCTAAAATGGTGTTAACAAATTCAAAGTCTATGGAAAAACAAATAAAAAAAAATCAATTAACCATTAGAATCATTGAAAATACTAAAAATTATCGAAACCAAAATATACATTTGAACCTCATTAATACAGTTTATTGTATGATTTTCACAATAAAAGGGTTTTACAAAAACTGCCACACGTGTTTTGCTATACAATATCTTTCTNTGTTTGAGTTAGTTAAAACAGTAAGTAATGACAAAAAAATACAATGAGAAAAAATTAATAGCAGAAATTGTGAGAATGTAAATTTGTGATGGAAATTCATTTTTAAAAAATGAAATGAACATAAAAAAATCAAGATAAATCATTGAAAATGTAGAATGAGAAAATGATTATCAATTTATATTCATTTCAGATCACAATCAAATTGGTCGGTTGAAAGAGCTCCTGACATTCTACATTTTTATTGTATTTCCTTCGTGTATCATTTCTCCCGTCATTATTATCATTATTATTTTTGTTTTCTTTAAAAATCAGCGTTCTCACTTGTTTTACGATTCATTTCTGTTTAGTTTTTTCTTTTATTTACTTTTTCTGATATTCTATTTATTAACTGATTCAACTGAATTTTTCGGTATGATTACTCTTTCTATTTTCAGTAATTTCAACAATATTTCAGTCATATAGATTTATATGTATTCAACTCCAACACAAAATGAAATCAAAAATCAAATCATATGCTGATTAAGAACATGCTCAAGTCAGTATTTTTTATTGTGTCAATTTATTTTCAATTGCAATAATTCTTATGTGATATAATTATGTTTTCTTTTCATATCTGAAAGGTTAATCTAGTCTGAATAAAGTATGAATATATATTTAGTTTACAGAAATTTCCATGCAAATCAAGTGCTTTTCGAGCATATAGATACATGTGTCAATGTGAAAGTAACCACTATGAGAAACATTTATTGTATCTTTTTTATCAAATATATCAATACGTATATTACTGGGAAAGAAAGGTTTTTTACTTTCTACTTCTCTTACTACTTTATCCAAAAAAAAGGGAATCTTCCGAAACAAGTACTTCCACATGAACATTGAATTACACGAAAGAACATTTACTCTGAAAACAATTACTTACAAAGAACATTGTACTATACGAAAATCACGTTTTCCCATTCAGTTTGTACTTCAAACATTCATTATGAAATTGAATCAGATATCATCCAATATAAAGAAGAGTAACGATATATTGTTTCACATAGAACACATTCATTCCCAATGCCGGACTTGGAAGTTTCTGAATTACACACGTGTCTTATTTTCACATTTTTGTATAAATATGAAGAAGTAGAAAGCCGGAAACCTTTCTTTATCAAATAACTGGAATGTTTTTACAACCGTCAACACTTATGATAGAAGAGGTAAATCAAGATTTATACTTTAGAAAATGTATATTGAAGAAGTGTTGACGTTTTTCCAACTACTAGCTTTCGTCTCCAACCTAGTTTCTTCACTTTATTTCTATACGAACTCTGGAGGTTATTAAAATTCGTTAGCTACAAGAACCTTAGTAACACAATCCACAAATTGCCAAACTCACCCTGTCGATTTTGTATCTTCCCCGTCAAACGAACGGCTGCTATCCGACATAGGAGATTTTCTCACGTAATCCAGATTATCCCGGAAGTAATCAAGATTTGGATTATCTCTTCGACCTACTATGTTTCTCTTACTATCGCCTTGCATTCCTCCTTCTTTTGTACAGTATTCCGCGCCATTCACAGAAAGTTTTTGGTTTTTATAGAAAGTCTTTTGATGATTGAAATTGGCTATTTCCGAGTGTATTTGTTGGTGGAAATTTTGAGATATTTCGTGATAATTCTGAAGGTAGTTTGGGAAATAACTCATTTTTATAGTTTGGAGCTGTGGAATTGTCCATTATTTCAGTATTTTTCAATTTCAGGAATAGATATGTAAAAAAATATGTATATGTTCTTCTTTAAATGAATCTGAATCTTATTCACAGAAAATATGATCGTCACCTGCTTAATAAGTACTGAATACATAGAAATGAATGGAATATATATTTTATGCATCCTTTTCGGGAAAAAATATCATTCTTGGGTTTTCAAACCATTATGTATTACCAGTACTTTAAAATTTTTGTATTCAAAATAGCATTCTGCATTCAGTGTAATATAGAAATGAATGAATTGACAAAATGGTTTAGACTTTCACGGCTGAGGTTTTCAGTGTCATTGGTTTTCGAGTTTGAAAGCCGTGGATTTTTGGAATTTCTTCCTGACGTTTCGCTGGCACGCGTGGCTAGCTTCTTCAGAGGTTTAATCATCATGGCTTGCTGTCCGATGACTACTTTTTAGGCTTCGTAAAGCAATTTATGCCTTGTCAAGTAATCAGTTGTATTTGTACCTGTATTTGTACCTGTACTTGTACCTGCACTTGTACCTGCACTTGTACCTGTACTCGTACCTACACTTGAACCTGAAACATTAACAATCTTGCTTCCTGTTGTCCTGTTCGTTATTCTAAAATTCCATAAAATGGGGTTCCATATTCGATTGAGGTTGACCGCTTCTTTGGAGCACGCACTATCGAACCACCATCCTAGCCAAAAGAGAGAAGTCATCTCAACTCTAACGGAACGGGCTCGGAGAATATGTGAACCAGAACATCTGGAGAGGGAACTGAAATACCTTGAAGTGACCGTGAGATCGAATGGATACAGTGCCTCCGAGACCAGAAAAGCCATGAAACCGAAGGGCACCACGGTTCAGAAAGCGAGAAAGGATCAGATGGCTGCACGCGCATATCTACCGTTTATCCCTAGGGTCACGGACAGAATTGGAAAACTATTGGGCAAACACGACCTCGAAACAGTCTTCAAACCCACGAGGAAGATACAACAAAACCTCTGGTCGGCTAAAGACAAAAGAGACCCATTATCAGCAGCAGGGATCTATCGCATACCGTGCACTTGTGGAAAGGTATATATCGGAACCACCAAACGATCCATGTGAACAAGACTAAAAGAGCGTTAAAGGAACTGCAAACGGACAAGTCAGCTGTGGCAGAAGACACACTTAGTGAAGGAGACCACATAATTTTGTTTGAAAACACAGAACTAATTGTCCCCAACCAGGGTTACCATAGCCAACTGGTACGAGAGGCAATAGAGATCCACAAACACACGGAGAATTTCAACAGAAAAGAAGAAGCGGTCAACTTCAATCGAATATGAAACCCCATTTTAAGGAATTCTAGAATAACGAACAGAACAACAGAAGGCAAGATTGTTAATGTTTCAGGTTCAAGTGTAGGTACGAGTACAGGTACAAGTGCAGGTACAAGTACAGGTACAAGTACAGGTACAAATACAGGTACACATACAACTGATTTCCTGACAAGGCATAAAAACGCTTTACGAAGCCTAAATGGTAGTCATCGGACAGCAAGCCATGATGGTTAAACCTCTGAAGAAGCTAGCCATTCGCGCCAGCGAAACGTCAGAAACGGAAGAAATTCCAAAAATCCACGGCTTTCAAACTCGAAAAGCAATGACACTGAATGAATGAATTATTTTATTCAGTAGATAATGTTTAATTTTTTTATTGATGGAGTATTGAAAGGAAAAATCTTTAAATATTTTGACACGTTACAAACATTTACATCACATTGAAAAAGGCTTAAACAGCACAAAGTGTTATGTTGAGAAATCTTTTCGAACCTTCCACAGTTTAAAATTGCCGTTATTATGGTATATAGTAGAAAATAAGTTGGATAGCTATAGAAAGAAAGTAACTTGTATCACAAGCGCTCGAATGCTTTGTATATATTGTAAACCCACTACGACAAATGGCCATATTTCTTGATTGAGCTAGAATCTTCGGTTCATCTTTAATAACAAAAACTATACTAAACCGTTCAAGATTTTCAACAAGTTCAATGCCAACAGCTCTGTCCATCACTATCCATCACATCTGTTGGCGATACAACTGCCAACAGCATATGCAGGAAAAACTTCAGCGAATAATCCTGCACTGATACCTGTCGGATATAATCCAACGCCCTTCGTGCTATTAACCAGGAGACTAGTTGTTTTCTGATAGGTGTCAGTTCATTAACCTACAGTGTAGGGAGTTGAGACTGGCCTGAATGAATTGTTCCTTTAAATGATTTGATTTATAGCCAGTTTTTAAGTATGCCCACTTACTATATGTGAAAAATGAAAATGGATTGTGCTATACAATAGTTTCTGAAGAAGCTATTGTATAATAGTGCACGTATCGCAGTCTTGTGAACTGTTAAGTTCTCTATGAAAAGTCAAAAAGCCACTGCCGGAGATAACTGTGCCGAAGCTATTTCTCGGGTTTTTCGGCTGTGATCTGCAGATTTACATGCCTGACGTTTCGTCTATTACTGCGGTAAACTACCAGAGAGAGTCTGAAGTCATCTAAAGATCCAGTGAGCCTTTAGCAACACCCGGGATAAACAGGATATTTTGCGGGTTGGTCTACATTGAAAACACGAAGTATAGAAATTTTCAAATCGCGCAAACCGACAAATCAGCTCTAGCCGAACATTCTCTCGAAGAAGGCACTTAATATTATCTCATAAGAAAATGCAAAAATATTCAATAAAATTCAGAATTACTATCCAAGAGATAGAGAGGCCAAAGAAATTCAGAAACACTTGGATAATTTCAATAGAAAGGAAGAGAAAAGAAATACGCTCACCAATGATGATACAAAAACCGGAGACAAATTCCAACATTGTAGTTTCTGCTTTGAGAACCACTCGAGCGCTTCGACCGTTATCTCATCGCCTTTGATAATGTTTACCGCAGTAGTAGACGAAACATAAAAATCACCAGACTACGGCCAAAAAACACGGAAAAAAGCTTTGAGTCACAATAAAGTGTTATTTAAATGATTTACCCTTCTTCAGTTTCTATAATTATGATTCATTACAGATTTTCATCACTATCGTTATTTTAAATTTAATTCTAGTTAATAGAAATTCTACAGATAATATTTTTCAACTGGTATAACAAATGAGTGAAAAGGCTACACATATTTTTAAAGTAAAATCCACGAATTGCCAATTGCACAAACCAATTTAATGTAGAGTGCAACAGACTGCTGGTTGACACTGGAAGTCACAGCATTCTGGAAATGACCTCTGTCTTTATGCCTTCAACTCTCAACTACGAACTGCCTTATAAAGTACTATCCCCGAGTAGAGAGGACTGGATCCTCCGGGAGAAGGAAATATTAAGAGCAGATAGTTGTTGGTTCACAGATGGATCAAAAACACTTTCAGGTTCTGGTGTAGGTGTTTTCAGTCGTAGGCCTAGGACAGAGATATCAACCTGCCTAGGAACCTATGCGACTGTATTTCAAGCGGAAATTTACGCTCTTAGATTGTATGCGGAAAGATTGGAAGAACCCAACTTCATACACAAGGCAATAAAAATATTCTCGGACAGTCAAGCTGCATTAGGACCTCTTGGCTCCTACTGAGCAACGTCCAAATCGGTAGCAAATTGCCAAAAACGACTCTCCTCTTTAGGAAAACTCGATAGATTGTGTTTGGTCTGAATTCCTATCCATACTGGCCTGGAAGGCAATAAGGCTGCTGACTCCCTTGCAAATGAGGGTTTTGCAAGCAGCTTCATCGTACCAAAAACTGACATTGGTATCGCTTCAGGATTTGCCAAACAAATATTGAAGATATGGATGGCAAGAAGATTTATGAATTTCTGGCAGAATCTTTCAGGATTGGCTCACTCCAAGGCGTCTTTTCACCCTTCGAAAGCTTGATACCAAACAGTTGTTGGACTACAGAAGGGATGAACTACGATGTCTCAAAGGCCTTTTTACAGGTCACGGTCATTTAAATCATTATATGCAGAGACTCGGACTGTCAGAAGACAGTGTGTGTCGCCTCTGTTTGAAAAATGATGGAACAACAGAGCACATATTTTGTGCCTGCCCCTCTGGGGACCGAATCAGGTTTTCAGTATTCGAAAGAGTCGTACTCTTATCAGCTGACCTGAAAGACCACTCACCATACAAACTAATCGGCTTCGTGGGTTTGTTTAGTCGAGTGTGAATAGGTGTGAGCCACAATAAACCCTTGCCGGTTAGGGTGGAGGGTCGAATAGACCCACTCACTTTTGACCTAACATAACCTAACCTAAATTTACTAAATTTCGAGTTTAAAATCGGGGTTTAATAAAATTCCGAATTTAAAATCCGTATTTAACAGTATTCCAAAATTGAAGTTTGAAGTTGATAATAATTTAGTAAAATCCTGACTTATCAGAGATTTTTCCTTTATATTCGGAATTCTATTAAATTCTGACTTTGAACTCGGAATTTCATCAAGTTCCGATTTAGTTTTCTAAAAAATCATTTATAGCCTTTCTGTGATATCGTAAAGTCTAGTAGATATTCTCAAGATGAATATTGCTAAAATTCATTTTGAGGTTTAATGAAATATTTTCAACCAAAATGCAATAGAAAAATAAAAGATTATTTATTATTATCACCAGTACGTACGTACAAAAAAATCTACTTCACGAAAAAATCTAAATTTGACATCAATATTTCACTTTTCACTGTGTATATCATTTCAACACATGCTCATAAAGCATAGGAAATCCTCAGTCTATTTATATTTTTTATAATAATGATGATGTTTGCGTTTTGATTTATAAACGATCTGAATAATGAGTTGAGAATCTACAGGAATGTATATTTTTTCGATAGCTCTACGAAACGAGATTTTGAAATATTTTGAATAATCCTTCTAAAAATAAAAAGATATGTAGAATTCCATGAAAAATTCCAATTCTTTGACAACATTCATTAGATAAGAAAGATTTCTTGTATGATTTTGAAGTATCAATTACCTAATTTTGACACATTGTGAATCGTGAATAAGTGTATACAACGATATTCAACTAACAATAATATGACACTGACTGATTATTTCCATAAATGTTCAGGTGGGACTTTGATTATAGTTATAAGATGTTTCGTTCAACAAGGCAACCAACATTTGGTTCTCATTTATCACTTTTCGTGGTGTTTTCTCTTACTATTTTGAATTCACAATAAAAAATTTGAAATGTACTCCCGAAAAATGAATTTCAATTATCTTACTCATAATATTTTTTCAGAAAAATGTAAAATGATTGAAAAAATATAATTGAAAATGATGTTGATGGGTTGAAACCTATAAACCCAGTTGGAAAAAATCACAGAATTATATATGTAACTGTTAGTAAAGCAGAATTTTCTTCAGTTATTTCAAATAAATTCAACTTCAATACATTGCTTAAAAAACTCTCTTCCACATTCCATCAATGTTATATATCTAACGGTTACTGACAAAGCAATTACTTTCACTTGAATGTTGTCATATGAATCTTTTAATTTTAATTTCATCAGCTCAAAGCGAATGATGTTATCCCTGTTTCGGAACATTTTTTTTGTTTGTCCTCACTTTCATCCTATAATTAACCCTCATCGCAAAATAAAGGACGTTTCATATTTTATCTACCCTTGTAAATGATAATGGCACTTTTCTCTGGCTCCTGAAACACATACAAGGTATTTTCTTTATCCCTTTCACACAGCTCTGTTACGCACTATGACTGATGGACTGAGTTCTTACAGTACGTTCCTCGATTAATAGGTAAGGGTATGGGAATAAAGTGCTAATTAGGTGCTCATTAGATATTTATTGTAAATCTAGATTCCATAATTCATATGGGGCTTATGGTCCCGATAACCACCATGGTGATTCCATGGTTGGACGATAGCAAGTGAAAATTGAGCGTTCAGCCTGGGGCTTGAACTATCGACTCACACATCGGGCGATCTCAAATCAGGTATCTCAAATTTTGTTTCGCTTATTTGCGGTCGTTTTCAACTTAATTTCTTGCAAGCACCTAATTAACACTTTATTACCACGCTTAATTTATACCTGATAGAGCATTCGTCCTCGTTTCGAGATACCTGATTCTTAGATCTGTTGTTTAGGGAAATTGGAAGCTTTTGTTTATTAATTAGAAAATTGTACGATCCTCACCGTTTAGCACTTAATTAGCACCTAATAGTGTTCCCATTCATTATTTTATTATTATTTTCATTGCGTTGCTAGCATCACATAATGCTAGCAACGCAACTTTGAGTATTGAGTTGCGGTGTAAGTTATAGAGCACCTGATTTTTAACTTCGGTACCTAAAAAGCACCTTAAAAATACCTAATTTTGGCATTTTCTAAATGCGATTTCCGTACTTTGCGTTGCTGGCGTAACAGAGCTCTTTCACACGGAAGTTGTGAATTTAAATTCCGACTAAATGTTTAATTATTGCTGAATTAATGATAGAATCAGTTGAACGGTAGATAGATAGTTCATTACACAAAGTGGGCAGTAGTATTCGTATCACAAGAAAGATCTACCAGAATGAATTTTTCGCAAAAATTCGAAAACACATCAAGTTTGAATCGTATTAGGGACAAGTTTTGATTTTTAAATCACTGCAAAACCTTGCCATTTATTTTCAATTAGAATGAGAGTCGAGTCATATCTATTCATTCTTTTTTAGTTTTTTTAATCAATCCACTTGTTTAGAGGTTTTGATTATCCAACAATAACAGAGAGTTTAAAAAACTTCGACACTTATTTCAGTATAAAATATCTTTTTCATTAAACAAGGTGAAGAAGCATTGTATAGTAAAACAGTAAAACACTTGTTGTAGTTTTGTAAACTATTAAGGGAAAATATCACAATAAAGTGTTATTTAATGTGTTCAATGATGACGCCTGAAAGAACTACTGTATAGTGAAACACGTGATGTGATTTTGTAAACTATTAAGTGAAAAATCCTACAATGAAGTGTTATTTAAATACTTATTTGCGTGTTCAATGAAGACGCCTGAAGCAACTACTGTATAATGGAACACGTATTGTGATTTTGTAAAATATTCAGTGAAGAATATCACAATAGAGTGTTATTTGAATGTTCATTTACATGTTCAGTAAATACACTTGAAGAGATTATTGTATACTAAAACAGGTGTCACGGTTTTGTAAACTGTTAAGTCAAAATCTCATAATGAAGTCTCACCCAAACATATTAACATGGTTTTCATCAAGTATCGGCCAATTCCATCATAAATCTAACTACATATTTTCTGAGGATGCAAAGTTAAAATCGATTTGAAATAAAATCCTTAATGGCAGTGTCAACTTCATTCGGAACCACAGCTGGTTTCAGAGAATATCACCAAAAGATTCAGATATGTTCAGTATGTTTCGTTAATGATAGGGAGTTTCTGAAAGTAATTATCAATTATGGTTTGCCCAATTCCAAAAAGCTTGAAAATGGCTGGACTTTATTTTGGAAATAATGAATGTGTTAATCGGGTTGCCAAGTAATTTCAAAAAAGTCTCTGAGAAAATTTTAGATGAAATTTGGCGGAATTGTATCAGTTCAAAATAAAAAAAAACAAAATCCAATACCTAATGTATAGCAATATTGATGGGATGGGATAAAAGAAAATTGGTAATGCGATGGACGTGAGTTGTACAAATACAAGGCGAATATTGGAAAATTCGTTAAGAACAAGAACTAAATGAAGAAGCTTGTCATCGAAGTATGCAATTTTGTGCAATTTCGAGTGAACCGGCGATTCGAAATAATAATTTTCCAATCGATGTAGGTATTTTATTTGAATGGGTGTAGGCACTTCATTTTTTAACGGTGTACATTATCACCACAATGATGGTTACTGAGCCGATAGCATTCCCAGATAGCGTCCTTCCCTTCTTTGAGATTTTACATTATTTTAAAAATGTATTATTGACATTTCAATGTTCTATATTTTCTAACAAGAAAGTCGATTCTCAAAAGTGAAGCAAACAAATCAAAAGCCCCTTCAAAGAAATTTAGGGATGATACCTCGGCCCAGAGAGTAGAAGGTTTCCGATTGATACTTGCCATCCTTAGAGAACAAATTTCACGTGTGTTTCTATTTTAGAAAAGAGTGCTTTTTCTGTGTCTTGTGGTACGTTTTCAATACACCACCCTGTGTTTATGATCGAAGTTATTATTTACGTAACAGACAATATTCAAAAGAGGGGAAAAACCATTTACTTCTCATTTATGAAACTACTAGTTATGTTAAAAAGAATTAATTATTTCAGAATGTATCTTTGTTCCACAAGACAAATCATAAAGTATAATATCAATAAAAATTTGTAAGCAACGTGTGTATGGGGTAAATTTTTTCACCTAAATAACCGCCAGTAATTAATTTGCCAAGAAATTCTATATTCTACGTAAGGTACTTTGTCTTATAAATTCCAAATAGAAAAAGAAGAGTAAATTTCAACGGTATAAAAAAAATAAGTTCAAAGCACTTCAGTTGTTTTTGGTTAAATAATATGTCATGTTTTTGGTCGTTTCTTAACAATCACATCCTGTAAGGTAGAAAAATACTGAAATAACTTGTGCTGAAATATCATGAGAATTCGATTAATCACCGTTTTCACAACGCCGAAAAAACAACACTACAGTTTCAACACTTTCACCACACTTTTCTAGGAACGTGACATGTAGTCTACTTACAATCTGAAAGAAAACTAAACATCGGATTGATATTTTCAGAATGTATCCCGGTTAGCATCTTCGTCCAACATCTGTAAGTTTAAAGTAACATTTGAGCAACGCCCTCATTTTCAGATATTACAAATTGGCTGTCATATAGCCTCAAAACATCTTCATTTCATATTTGAAATATATTTTATATGAATAGAAGTGCCCGAAGTGATCTATTATTATGTCGGATTTAATAATTTAGAGTTATTTTTACTGAAGCTGGGGAAATGATGGATTTCATGACGCTAGTTAAGTTTGCTTAGGTAGAGGTTAGCCACACCTCTTCGAAACGACTTAGCCAATTGAATGTACTTGTTGAAAAAACAAACACACGCCTATCCAAAGTTTCATGTGTCAGGAGGAAACTGTTTCGAGGATTAGGTACTGAAATAATTACATCTCACAAGGTTGACCTTTCATTATAGGTACTAAAAATAATTCAGTAGTTGGTAAGGGGATATATCTACCCTAAACATCATACTCAATTATAATTGTGTATAGTTATCAATTTACGAATAATATTATTTTGCCTGTTATTCATCATTATCCTTTAGAACACTGTTTAGTTTTGAAATGTGTTGGTTTTGAAGTTCACTGTTCATTGTGTCAAACATTTTACATCATATTACAAGTAGGATGCAGGATTATTTTGGGGAGAGGGCTGGAAATAAACAATGAAGATTTAAAAAAGTTATACTGACTGACAAAAAAAGAAACACACATACGAATGTTCTTTTGGAAATCGCCTCCACACTTCAGTGAACCTGTTTTTTCAGTATTTATTAGACTTTCATCAGTCAATGATGGTGAAAGTCTAATAATATATTAAGTACCTAGGTACTAGAGACTGAGCACGTGTATCAAAAGTTATTAAATCTGGATAAACAGATAAGTATGGTTTATACATCGGAGATAACTCAGGATCTATAAATCTTTAAAGAAGCTAGCCACTCGCACTAGCGAAACGTCAGGAAGAAATTCCAAATCCAACTCCTTTAAACTACAAAAATAGTGACACTGATTCGTTATAGAATTGAAACAGATACCATTCACAGAATTGCTACACAATATAGTATATGATAGAGGTAAAATTTCGCTTACATGGAACACTGTCATCCTCACTGGTAGACATCCAATATTTCAAAATAAGATACTTGTCTTTTTGTCTCTTCAGCACCAGTCTTTATGAAATTACAAGATGAAGCACTAAATTTATTCAAAACAATACCACATTATGTCACGAATGAGTTAAATCCACTCATGTCATCGATGACAGTAGGTGATGACATTCATTGCTTAATTGAACTATTGAACGTGCAGGACCCCAAAATTGGCCAGCTCATAGTTCTGATATGAATCCTATAGATTTCTATTTTTGGGGTCATGTGAAGGTTCTTGTTGATAGAATGTCTTGTTGATAATGTCCGTACTAGACTGAATGACATGAGGATTCAGATAATTGACAATTGCACTCTCATAAAGAATACTCCAGGTATCTTTGAACATCTCAAGTAATCAATAACAAATCGATTGCAGTCGTGTATTCTATCAGAATATGGACATTTTTCTCATTTACTTCAAACTCGAAATTGGTTGCCTTGAACTNTAGAGATTGTTGACGTGGTACCTTCCTACTAGTAAAAACGAAAACTAAATGAGAATATTCTAACTGAACAACGATGTTCATTGTCGTACTAACATTTTTTGTCGTTTTTATAAACAAAAAATTACTTAACAAATCTTATCGTGTTGTTGGAATTACCATATGGCAGATAAAAAGGAATATTTCTAGAAATATGAATACTTAATAATGTGTTTGTCTTCAGGAAATTATTGAACGTTCCGCCATTTTGTAGTAGGTGAAGATATTGACTTCATATTTCAGGGTTGTGAAGTATTCGTCAGGAGCTTCAAAATGATGTGTCACAAGTTCATTATTACATTAAATATCTGTATCAAATTTTAGCCAACTCAGTTTGTGGATATTTATTTTTTATTAAAACGGCCAACGAATCACCCTCTGAAATTTTATACCCTAGATAGGAAACATCCTGTATGATCATATGCAGGCGAAATTGCACGGTGGTTTGATTAAAGTTTGTTGACGAGAACTGAGCTATGTTGAATTGTGTAGCATTGATTAATAAATGGCAACAGAAGTGTACTTCGAGGTCCACAGCACATTTCTTGACGTATTCCAGCCAGTTTCTCGTTTCATAGTCTGTTTACCCTAGTGACACACTTTACCCCGAAAACGAGGTCACATCGCTATCGATAGAGAAACCCGCCCTGCGAGCATACCCCGATAAACTCTATTTTCCCCTGAAAAGAGGGTACTGCCGTTGATGAAACGTCCAATGCCTCGAATTCATAGCCGACTCGGGATCGCAGCCACATTATTAAGCTCGTCTGCGAGAAACGAATTTCGTAAATAAGCATTGGCAAAAACTTCTACACTAAGAAACAACATTCGTTCAGGTGACCAATACAAGATTTGAATTTTGAATACACTGACACGTTACTCGGTTGAAATCAACAACACTGTTCATGATAATAATTTTCTAGATTCTAGTTCTAGAAAATTTTTCATTAAATTATATTCAACAGTGTTGAGAATTAACGTCTGTTTGGCCATTCAAAGGAAATTTGATTGTATACGTTTATTATTTCCAGGTTTGATTTTTGTATTTTATTTTTGTATATAGTACGTCATTCTTTATGTCAAAGCTGTGGTTGTTTTCCAACAGATGGTATGCGTATGTTGAATAGATTTTCTTCTTTTGTGCTTAGAGATTATGGTTTTGAATTATCTAGATGTTTATCCAAAATAAACTTTTGGACACCTGCTACATTTCAACTTGTAAAAACCTGATTTGGTTGTTTTTCATATGTTCACCTGAAGTGTTATCAGTCTTGTATACTATATAGATATCTTTTTAGTTAGTACCCTACTCATATTTTTTATGCGAGTTAATTTTTCCCCACTATTGAATTTACTTTCATGAGAAATACACTAGAATCAGTCGAATCATAAGGAACAATAATTTATTTCCTTTGTACTTCTCAAAACTACCTGTTTACGAATTAGTAATTGAGGTCGATGATTTGTATAAATAACATTGTGAAGTAGTAGTTTTATTTGAAATAAAACCTAAATTGTGAAAATTTATGATTATTATCATGAATAGTAATGAAAGATTCCTTCAGCTTATATTACTATTGCTTCCTCTTCATAAGTTTTACAAGGTCAATTGATTTTCGTTACTCGGGAGCTATATTGCCCCATTGTTGCTTTGCCTGCAGCTGAGGTCTCCGTTTTACAGCCCTACTTTGTTCAAGTAACTAAATGAAAATATCAGTGGATAGCCACGTATTCATTCTGAGATTATTCATGTTGTGTTGAAGCAGTTCTTTGGGTTTTCCAGTTTATAATGGTTTTTCCTTCTCAGGTATATTTTTCCAGTATTTTTGATATCCCCTCACAGTTGTTTGTGAGGGGGGTCCAGAACCGATGACAATGCATGTTAATCATAAACGTGATCTGATACTGCTGCCAGGATCGGCTCCGTACGAGAGATCTCCTCAGCGATAAATACCTTCAAATCCCTACTTCCCGACTCTAAAAACAAGACAATAAATGGTGTAGTAGGTTGTAAGAACCCATATTTATTTGCATTGTAAAAAAATATTATTATCTACCACTCTCTAAGTTCNGCCCTTCTCAAGATGGTGACAAGTTACGGCCAAGTTGCCAACATGTGCACTATTTCGAACTTTCAAATTTTTTTGTACTGTTGATTTGTTTTATTGCTATTAATCTTACTTACTATTAATTTACTTCGTTGAAATACAACTTTGTTAAGACTGTTTCAACAATGCTTTGAACATATTGAATATATACAGGTCTTATCAAAAGATATGATTAGTTCTGAAAAGAAAAGAAAAACTGGCAGTTTTCGAGTTTTTTTCGATTCGGCAACGTCTGAAATTTTATTATCAGTTGAGCAACTTACAAAATGAAATTTTACTAGTTTCATTGCTATTGAACGCATTTCATTGGGAATTTTAAAGTAGTTATATTGGATATTAAAAATTACCAAAAATGACGTCATTCTCTTCTTGACACGAATATTCTATAGTAGATGAATATTATCTCAAGCACATCCCAAAATATCGAGGCCATAACCTTTCCAGCCGATTAATGTGCTTTCGGGCGCTTTGGACGAGGTTCACCAGTTGCTCTCCACACAGATGACTATCGTTTTGATCCGGAGTGAAGTAATGGATCCATGTTTCTTCCACTTTCACATATCGACGCAAAAATTCCGGTTTGTTATGTTTAAACAAGGCCAAACACTGCTCAGAATCATCAAAAGACGTTCTTGTTTTTGGTCAACAGTGAGCTCGCGCGGCACAGAGCTTTCTCATAGTCAAAATGTTCATGCAATATAAAACCAACACTTTCTTTTGATATCTTCATTGTTGTGAATAAAAGTATGTCCTTAAGAATGCGTGTTTTATTGTCATATAAATGAAAATACACAGTATTATTGGCGACGAGGGAAGTTAAATCCACTAGTCGGAAGTTTCGTGTCAGTAACAGTTACAGTAAGTTCAGTCGTCATAGTCATTACTCGGGATCAATAACCTCGAGAAGTAGTCAAATCAAAGTCTAGTTAAAAATGTTTTTTATTGGGAGTATTGAGCCTTTCAACCCTAGCGAGTCAGATATTTCGTCGTATATGGAAAAGATGGAGCAACTTTTTGTACGTAACTGTTACTGATGAAAAAAAAGAGCAATGTTCCTAACCTTAATTGGTGCGGAAGCATACGGTGCTTTAAAAGATCTATTGTCCCCGGATTAACCCAGCTCTAAATCGTTCGATGAATTGAAAACAACATTAGTTAGCCATTTCAACCCAATAGAAGGTTACTTATGATGCACTGTTTGGAACCTTTGGTGTAGTAATGAATATTACTGGAGTTTTTCCCCAATACCAAATCGAGATGTATTTATCTTG